AACGTATCTTATAAAGGATGATGTGATCTAAATTAAAAGGAATATGACCTTTACGTCACGACAGTAGCTGCTTAAATAGTACTTACTCTTTATGCTATTGTTTACAGCCAAAATGTCGTGTTATTTTCAATTTTGTTACCAACCCAGTGGGCCACGGTCCGTAATATAGGCCACTGCAAATAATTCAAGATAGGTATACCATTTTAGGCAAGGTTTCTGTGTTGAATGAATAAATCAAAGTAACCTCTCTGAAAAGTCTGCAGTAAATTGAAGTTTTCCAGCTTAATGACTTTCTAAATCATACACATATTTCTACATAAATATTGTAAAATGTTTTATCCAGTTGCTCTAAACTATTATTAATTTAACAAAATATGGACACGGCTCATATGGGCAACGTGTCCTTTTGCACTTGTATTATTGTGTATTGTATAACACAATCGAAGATTTGTCCAACGTTTGAAAACATGTGTGACAATAATTTCATGAACCTATGATGATCTGTCTAGAATAATATCATTGATAGTCAAAGATAATATGATAAAATATAGACAAAAGTGGTGAAAAAGGCAGACAGCAACCCGTACAATAGATATAAGATAGTTCAAAAAGAAATGATTGAAAGGGTTACTGTGATAAAAGGATTTTTAACTGATTTCGTAATGAAACGTTATATTGAAAAACATGACATGATACAGAAGAAAATTAATTTTACCTAACCCGCCATGTTAAACTTCCCTATCCCAAGCGTGATGTATACAACTTCCTTACTTCTCGAGTGATGTAAAGTATCAAAAACTCACTCGGTGATGTAATGAAACCCATTTAAATAACATTTAGTGATTAACTTAAAAAATATACATCTATGGAGCCAACGACGTTCAACGCTAGAAATCAGCTGTGCTCTTGAATTTTATTGTTATGTTTTGAAGAATTTTCCTAACCTAGCTTTTGTTTGTAAATGAACGTTACTGTTAGAAGATGAGTGAAATGGATAATGATTAATATTGTTCGTAACCTCCTGTATATTGTCGGGTCAGGTAAAATCTTGTACGTTAGCGTGTTTATACATCACTTAGGTAAATTATGCAACTCGCTTCCGCTCGTTGCACAACCTTCACCTGCGTGATGTAAAAACGCTCTTACTACTCTTGTAAAGTAAATAGCTACAAGCTGCTATACCCGTGCTTTGCAACGGGAAGAAAATGTGACCTAGAGAGCTATTAAAGTGGTGCTGATGTGTGTTTTAAAATACAGCAACTCTATGATTTAGTTTGAAAATATAAACTGATTTAAAAGCGCAAACAGCGTAAACCTACTTACTTTCAAACCCCTACTTTTGATGTTAATAGATCCCTAAGAATATGGCAACATACCTTAGCATACTTTAGCAATACCCTTCATGAATAACATGTTTAACCATAATCCTTCAATTTTAGTCAAGCCTCTTGACATGTAGCTTACTCTTAAATTAAAAAATGAAACTTTGAGCAATACTTTACAAAACGTATAGCCTACAACCTCACTAACCATCCTCAATCTACATTCACAACACCAACGTCTTTTTCGAGTAAATAAACAAACACCAGTTCATTGTACAGACCAGCTGTTTCATTAACTAAATTAAATTAAATCATTTAAACATTGAAAGCATGCCAGGCGTAGCCCTTTGGAAATCAGCCTGTGGGGCAGCGCCCTCAGGGAATTCGTTCATTTCAATACTTTTCGGCAAATCTACACACTCTAAGCTTCATTTTGATGTGCCATATGCCTATATTTTCATTTGGTAAATGACCTTAACCGTTTACATAAAATTTGATTGTATCACTTTAATAATATAATAGATTACAAACAGAAAATAACATTGCAAATACTTCTTTTGGACAGTTCAGTAACTCCTAATAAATGTGTGTTGTTTAAAATACAGTTTAAAAATTAACAGCTGTTTCATTAAAAAGTATTATCCACATGACCAAAATGTAAACAAATCTGTGGAGGGATCTTTAACGGCTTCTGGGGCAGAGCCCTAAGGGAATTTACTTAGTTTTTCTTTTGATAACTCATCTACAGACCAAAACCTTTATTTGGACACCTCTACCAAGTTTCTACGCCCAGCCGTTCTCTCGAATTAGTGGACACAAAGTTTCCAATTAAATATTTAGATTCCTCCATGTTAATCTTATGGGAGAAAACCTAACTTTGATGAATAATCCTGCCCAAACTAATAAAGATTTCAAAAATTTAAAAACACTTTGCAAAACTACAGATCAGGCCATTTTCTTTACACTTTATTCATTAAAATCGAAATTCAATCTATGCCTGGCTTGTTCTCAGCCAGGTCTTTGCCCATGAGAACGTGACTTGAACTTGAGATCTTGCGATCATCTTTACTTTTCATTTCTATGAGGGGTCAGCGAACGTTTTGTATTGTTCATGAGTTTGTAAAGAAAATGATTTAATAATTTAAATTTTTAATTTTCATATGTTTATAAGGGCATTTAACAACTGCGCAATTAATAAGTACTGTAAACCATATTACTGTAAAAGGCCGGTCTTTATAAATTATATAGTTCTAAAAGAAATTTCTATTTGACCTCTTTGTCACAAAAACATAATTCTTTGTATAATGATTGTTATGTAAATGCAGTTGTCATCGTAATTTACAATTATTGATCTGTCTAAGTGTTATTTTTTCAATAAATGTAAATATCTTGTTTGGTAAACAAAGGATGTAATTGAATCTGTAAGTTAAGACAAGTATGCGAAAACTACAGTTTTCGATTAGCTCAAGCCTAAATTATATTGTATGTAATCTAGCTTGTTATATTTCGTTATTTTGTCACGTAAAAACATTTAAATTATGTATGATGTATAAATATAAAAAAATTTAACAACAAATCCATTTGAAAGTGAAGTTTAGACATTGGTACGGTCGACATTGGTACATTATCATTGGCGAAAATGCTCATGCACATTAACATTATTGCGGCTATGTGTTTAAGTTGTAACATGGTTTAGTTTCATATAGAAATTTGAGAAAATAATTTTTATTTTATTTTTTGTTGTAATGATTTGAAATAAAGTTTTACATTTACAATAGTCAAGAGTAGCCTGCAGTAGCAAGACTTCTTGATAAGAAAGCTCTGGAAGCTTCCTTATCACCTGGTCCAGTGCATGTGCTGGCCAGAGTAGGGGTAGAAGGTTCCAGAACTGAGATGTCTTATATAAGGGAGCTGCTTCCATGTGGGGTTGTTAGTTCAAGAGTGTAGATGTACAGTGTCCAGACCTGGGGTGAATTTTCTGCAGCCTACTCAATGAGTAGTAAGTTTATTTTATTTTTTATGTTATTTTAATTCATTCACTTTTATCCCTCCCTCTCTGCTAATTATTGTAATAACAAGAAAGACCATAGATGTTTTCTTATTAGATATTTAACTTTTCTTTCAATTAGTAAAAGATGTAAATATAAAATGCACCTTTTTTATTCTTTTAGAACTTATTTAATAGAGTTAAATTTGGATCTAAAAATAATAAATGCTAATTAAAGTAAAGTTTTTAAAGTTTCTAGAAAAGTTTAGCAATTGTAAATTTTATTTCATTCAGGAAGAAATTAATGTAACCTAATTTAATTTCGAAGGATTTTAATTCAATTGTTTAGCTTTTCAATTTAAAGAAGTTTGAAACATTAAAGAAATATGTATTTGTATTGTAGACAGATAAGCTAGGAACGGGTTTGTTTGTTCACAGGGCTCAAGTGTGTACCAGTGATTAATGGTTTTAAAATGTCCCATAAAAAATATTAGCCGAATGTTTTAAATTTGTTGATTTTTTATATTTAAAGAAAACTAATGGAAGTAAATAAATTTCAGTTTGATTTTGGGTTTGGTTTTGAAAGTGTTTAGAAGAAACTGTTTTATTTTAAATAAACCATGACTTTTGTAACAATGATGAATTTTTATTTTGGGTCTCCTCTTAAGGCCAATTCCACTAAATAGAAGATAATTGATCTTGGAAATAACGTTACAAAGTTGAGACACGTTTGTAGAAAACACTAAAAAGGCAATCTTCTAAACAATTTTAAAATATTTACAACTTTAATTATATAGAAATGTTCATAACACAGTAAGTAATTCCATTAGTTGCATAAGCTTTTACGTGAGTCTTTTTAATTAATTGAAAATTAAGTCTGTAATAACTCCTAAAATAGCTCCTGTAATACCGGTACTTGATAATTGCTTGATTTCTAGCAACGAGTACACAAGTTAAAAATTCAACAATGCATTAACATAACAAGCTCTCTTTCACGCCGGCAGAACTGCGGTATTGGTTTACCATACACGCCTGCAACGATGCGCTGCAAACCGCGCGACGAGTAGCTAAATGAACCGTAGAGTAAGTGAGCCTTCTAATATTTGTAGAGGGTTCACTTACTCTACAGATCATTGTGCCAATGAACTGTAGAGTAAGTGAGCCGTCTTCTATTTGTGTAATAGTTATCATGAAATAGGCTCGTATAGTATACGAGCCTACTCCTGTAATTTATTTAAATTCAGTATTTTGGCTCGTATACTATACGAGCTTATTCCTGAATTATTCAAGAATTCATACGCTTGGCTCATAGGCACTATGATCTGTAGAGTAAGTGAACCCTCTTCATTTATTTGATATTTTTGATCGGCTCGTATAGTATACGAGCCTGTAGTGCAAGTGAACCTTCAATATTATTTACGAAGCTCGTATAGACTATGATTTGTAGAGTAAGTGAGCCATGTGTTTTAAGAATTACATATTTGGAGGCTCATTGTGTCAATGATTCGTAGAGTAAGTGAACCCTAACCACCGTATGTTTTATCTATGCCAATAGTCAATTATATTACTCTATGCAGATTTCTAGCGTAGAGTTATACATTAGTCAGCTGTTTTTTTGTGGAGTGTATTTTTTGTAATGTCATTTTAAAAAGTAAGAAAGAAAAGAAGTAAAGTAAAAAGTAAACATAACCTTTAACCGATACTATGAAATGTACAGTTTTGGTTTATGTATAAACTATAATTAACTTAAATTGAGTTAACTTAGTACGCATTTTTCTACATAAATTAGACAGTTAACAAACACCATGGCAATCAGTAATCTTCACTTACTACCAGTTTCGTTGTTTATTTTATTCCCATCGACATTTTTAGGAACGTAAGTAATGCTAGGCCTAGTTTCACCAGTTAGTAGGCCTACCTGATAACTATAAGTGCAGTAACTTAAGTTATGCTAAAAATATTTTGTAAAATGTTTATCTTTCTGCTTTTAAGCTCTTTTTGTAATATAAGAGTTAGATGGTTAGGATTTATGTATAAGTTATATTTACTATATAGGGTAGATTACTAAGAGTGTGTATATTATAGGCTACACTAAGTTAGCAACCTGTTTTAAATTGTTTAATGACTCATAAATATCTCTTCACGAAGATTATTGTGGGCGTCACTCACCTTTATTTTTGTCTACGATGTCAACTTCACAGACAAAGCGTGAAGTGAGATATAAATAGGCCTCTCTCGCTTAACACATAACTTAAGTTAGTCTAAAAAAATGAGCACTTAGAACTAACTTCAACATAACGCCTGGCCTAGGCCTATTCTGATAACTTACTATGTCTTGTTTATGGAAATATTTTAGTAAAAATCCAAACAGAAAAATTAGTTGATATTAGCTTAGTCTGCAGGTTTGCTGCGGCAAGGGGATTATATACATTTACCGTCTTGTTTAAAACAGTAAGTAACTTAAGTGTAAATACCGTATATGTTTCAAGTGTTTATTAGACATATTTTTATTTACTCTCTGTGGTTTTTTTGTAAAGAAATGGTCCTAACCATAGTCTTTTTACTTGCTAATGTTATTCTAACAACATCTTTAGCTTTAAACTTTATGTGATTTGTTTTGCTTTATTGTTATTAAGGTATATTGCAGCGGTGCTTCAAGGTCATGTAGAACCTGAATTTCCCTACATCAGTGATGATGCCACCTACTCGCCTGAAAGCTGTGTATTTGGCCAGTTGATCAATACTGGAAGTATTCTTTGTGAGTAACTTTGGCTGTTTAAGAGTTTACATTTTTGGTACAGTTTGTTTAAGAAATCCAGATTCATAAAAACTACCAACTGCAGGTGCTAATCACAGTCCTACTAAGACCACGAAGAAAAGAACTTGTGTTGACTGTTTTAATGCCTGAATACTAAGCCTTTCTATTGAGTTTTTATACATAACAGAGTGTTTATGTATTATTTTACTCTCTAGTTAAAATTAAGGTGTTTGTGATTTTAATGAGTTGTTGTTTTATCGATAAGATCCAAGAATTATAATGTAGGGCTATTAAAGTGAAATAAAATATCCAGCTAGCCTACAAAAAGTAAGTAATTTGTTGAATAATTTTTTATATTATTGAATAATATTTTTTTCAAAGATAGAAGATAAATAATGTTTACTTCAGTTTATGTAATAAAAGTGGTTTTCCAGTGTGCCTCCTTGTATACATCCGCTACTGTGAAGTTGTCCAGTTTTTCGAAGACTATTCAATCTCTCCGAGAGCCATAAAGCTGAACAAGGCAGGCTTGTGGCTTGGCCTGTTGTCTTCCTTTGGCCTTAGTTTGGTCGCCAACTTCCAAGAGACTAACGTAATATACGTCCACTTTGCTGGTGCTTTGTTGTGTTTTGGAGTTGGAACTATTTACTTTTGGGTTCAGGTAACTTAAATGATTTTGTTAAGTTGATTGTGTTTTTTTGTCAATAGAAGAAAAAATTATAATTATTGTTAGTTTTCACAAATTGAACTTCCAATAACCTCCTTAAAACTTGGCCATTCTTTGTTTTACATGCAAACATCTAGTAACATATTTCCCTTCACGCTTGTGTATTTTAACATAAGTTCTGTTACTTGTAGTATGAAAAAAAATATTGGTAGTAGGCCTATTTTTCTTTAATTTTATCAACTTAAAAAAAGTAAAGACATTGGCATATTCCTAAAGGTTTAAGAATACCCTTTAATTGTATAAAGATAAAATACCTGTTACTGCCTAGTGATTCTGCTGCTCATGGACTTTGCGTTTTGATGTAAATTCATCATTATCAGATCAAAACTTGAAGACATTTAAACCATTGTTGGCCGTGTCAATATTTACGCAATAACACACAAAACATTAAAAGAGGAAAACAAACTGTAGACCTATAATATAAACACAAGTGTACACATGACGGGTGCAAAGTCTCGACTGGTTCAGGTCAGGAGCTGAACTTTGTCCCACGGCCGCCTTTATCTTGCTCCTCGTCCAACTTGATCAGTGATTCTAATAAAATATTTGTTTGTAAAGTACTTTTGTCATTTACCCATTTCATATCCTTTAAACTTGGTAGAAAATTAAATAGGCTACCACCAATAGTTGTGGCATTTATTCAGCAAAAACATTGTAACGTTAGCGTGTTTTTTTGAGTATTTTTAACCTAATTATTGATCACCTCCAAATGAAGTGAGTCGAGTCATCCTATGGCCAGATGACAACCTCTCAAAAGTTAAAATCAGTTTTTTATAGCCACAGTAGGGTTACATACAACTGGTTTTGACACGCTAATTATTAATATTTTTTTGTTAATAGGCTGTTCTGTCCTCTCACCTTCACCCGATCGCTCACAGTTCTGCTATGGTTTGGTTCCGCTATGTGTTGTCAGCCATATGTACAGTACTCTTCTTTGTCATTTTGGTTACGGGAATAATCTCGCATCTACAGTTTCATGGTGAGTACAACTTATAGATGACTAAGATGTGTTGACTTAATATCACTATTTGTGACTTCGGCGTTGTAGCTATGTATGGTAAAAAATCAAGATCATTAAATTCATTGCTCTCCAATTTTGTGAAGTAAAGGCCTGCTTGCATCCCATTATATTGGATACAATAGTTTGAGGAAAAGTAGCCATGGCTTAAACACTACTACCTATAGGGTTTTAACTTTAGGGGGGGGGGAGGGGCACTAAGTTCAGATTCTACAATGCTGTAAACAGCTAGGCTTATAAGGTATACCAGTATTAAAGTACCTGCTTAGAAGGATTAAATAATGTACAGGGGATCTGAAAAAGAGTGCCAGAGGATTTAAAATGGTCATTGCATGGGGACTTTTCAAGATAATTTAACTGTCAAATTTTTTCTGAGACCCTTTATTAATTAATATTTATTTTATATAAAAGTTGCCCCAAAGAATGTGTTTAGAAGTATAAATATTTTTGTGCAGTTTTCAATTTTGTGTCATTATTCAAGAAAGAATCTTGATAACAAAAGCTTATGAGTTATTAGCAGACCATTCATATTCAAACTTAAAATAATCATAGACTAGGCCTAATTTTACTAGCCTTCCCCTCTGCTCATTATACTGTCTCTTATTGTCCCTAATTTAGTAAAGCCTACGTGGCAATGTGTTTTAACAGGTAGCAACCCACGCAAGTGGCACCCAGAAGACGGAGGTTGGGTTCTACATGTGATTAGCACTGCGTCAGAATGGGTTGTGGCAATCTGCTTTTGCCTCTACATACTATCGTTCACCTCAGAGTTTAGGGAAATAACATTCACGCATCCACAGGTAGGAAATAGCAATATTCTAAATCAATTTAATACAGTAGAACTACTTTAATCTGAAACCCCCGTAATCCGAACACCTCATTGCTGTACTCTAGTGGTTCTTTAATGTATACTGTATTTATTGATTTACACACCGTAATTGTTTCTATTGTAATGTACAGTACAGTTTATTTACTATGTTTACTACTGTATTAAATAAACACTGTATTTTACAAAGCATTTTTTACTTTTCTCGTAACAAATACGATCCGTTTTAGCTATTGTTATGTGAAAACAACAATATGTTCTGTAATCCAAACTATTCAATAGTCTGAACTACCCTTGGTCCCGATTAGTTCGGATTAAAGAGGTCCTACTGTATACGATAATAATTTTCTCATACCTATAAATGTGTAAACAATGTTTGTAGAACTAAATATATTTTATTTACTAAACATAAAAAAATATTCTAGGAACTAACACACCACTGTTAATAGGAATCAAGAAATAAGGGTAGTACAATGATGCAACTTAATAATACTATGGTGGTCTTCAGGGAACAATCTTGCTAAAACATGTTGTGCATTGTGCTATTATTTTAGTATTACTAAAACCCTTTCTACTACTATAAACCCTTTAAGCAGTGCAATGTGACGATACCCTTTCTACTATTATAAACCCTTTAAGTGCAATGTGACGATATATCGTTGTGCGTTTTTTCCCTCGAAAAGTGTTGTGGAACGATATATCGTTGTTCCCGTTTTATCAGAAAAGTGCTAAGCGATGATATATCATGCTGACACGACTTTTGATCGTGTGAGTTTAAATGGCATATCGGTTACTCAGTTGTTGTTTCGAAACAGCGATGGTTTCTTTTGATTCCTCATACGATCAGGCCCGATATATCGTTCCTTAGCACTTTTAAGATGAAACATTTTTTCTACAAATATTTTTCTCAAACACTAGACTTTGCCCCCGTGGCAAACCTAGCACTAAATAATTTGTTCTAGTAGAGTTGTTCTAGTTTAATAATTGTTCTAGTAGTACCTTAGTATAACTAAATAACTTAAGCATTTTTTGGAAAATAACAAATAATTCTAGCATTGAAAGGGTTAATACTTTTGTTACTGCTCTGAAGAAGATGGCCATCTACAACAAAAGGTTTAACACCCGTGTTAGTGATGTTACAGGTTTTACCCTGAAGATCACTAATACTTACTTACTTACTCTTACTCCCAGGGCCATTTATATCGGAGGTGATATTTGGCCGCACCAACAAATCTTCGCCAAGTTAACCGGTCTTTCGCATCATCCTCCGTTGCCCCAATTCTCTCCAAATCTTCTTGCACTTGCTTCCACCACCTCTGCTTAGGTCTTCCCCGGGGTCGCCTTCCTGTAGTGTTTCCCTTTAAAACTCTTCCCAGTCTACAATCTTCATCTCTTCTTAATATATGACCAGCCCATCTGATTCTTCGGCACTTGATTTCTCCAATTACATCTGTGCTATTATACAGTTGCCTTAATTCCCTATTGTGTCTTATTCTCCATTCTCCTAGCTCGAATATTGGTCCAAAAATCTTCCTTAAAATTTTATTTTCGAATACTATTAGTTTCTTTTCATCTCTTTTATTTAATTTCCAGGTTTCTGATCCATATAGGAGAACTGGGCAAATTATTGTTTTGTACAGCCTGATTTTTGTTTTCCGGGACAAAGATTTTGATGAAAGTAATTTATTGCAAGCATGAAAACATTTATTTGCTGAATTTATTCGGCTTTGGATTTCTAGTTCATCAGTATTTTGGTTGGATATAATTACTCCTAGGTATTTAAAACTGTTGACTTTTTCAAATGTATGGCCATCAATTTCTATTGGTTCTTCAGTATTATCCAGGTATCTTGAAAAGTGCATGTACTTAGTTTTTGAATCGTTTGTTTTTAGGCCTACTTTTTCTGTTTCTTTCATAAATACTTCGGTTAAGGCCTTCAGATCTTCTAGTTTTTCTGTGATTATAACCACATCATCTGCAAAGGCTAAGATGTTTATTTTGGTTCCTATTTTCACTCCTATGTTCTTCTCTGCTACCTTCTGTAGAGCTTCTTCAATGGCAAAATTAAATAGGATCGGTGATAGCCCATCTCCTTGTCTGACACCAGAGTTTACTTCAAAGGTGTTACAGTTGTGGCCATCAATTCTAACTGAACATTTAGATTACTAATAGAAGATCACTAATAGTGTTATTAAATTTAAGGTTATTTAAAATTAATTGGAACTAGGCCTATTCAAAGTTAATAAGTTTTGCAGATCTAAAAACGTTTCATAATCATCCTAGTTTCCCTGTTTGATTTAATTTTAAACTCATTTCCCATTATAGATATTTCTAAAAATGGGAAGACAGCCGATTCCAGAAACAGAAACCAATGAAGTTTTGAGCTGATCAGTGAATGAAGATTGCTCCCAGACTTCATCAAATCTACAACTATCAACAAACTCTCTCTCGTCATTATCAGATTCGGATGAAGCTGGCAACAGTTCCTCTAGTCAAGAAAAGTCAGTTGAAGAAGAAGATGATACTGAAGACAGCCGTAGTAGACTAATAGCTTTGTCTCTTTCCTTACTAATGGCTGCAATTCTACAGGCCATCCGATCTCTGGGTACAGTTTTACAAGACGTAGTCCATACATTCCAGTGGGATGTAGATTCTTAGTTTAAGTATTCTGAGCGAAATCATGGACAAAAAGAATGAAATATAGACTGTCAGCCGTGCTGCGGTTGCCGGCGCACACCGCTGTAGTTTACGTAGCGCGTACGCCGTAACCACCGTGGTGCTCCAAGCGGTGTGCGCCAGAACCTATGGTAATCGCAGCACAGCTGACGGTCTATATTTAATTCTTTTTGTCTATGGCGAAATACACCACTTCCTAACATGTTTAGATTTGTAAATACAGTACGTAGTAGAAAAAGTAGTTTTCTCTTTTAGTGCACTACGACCCCATTTTCAAAGTATAGACATATTCTGTTTAGTTAAGAATATTTTGTTTGCCGTTTGCAGTTTGGTTAAAATAAAGTATGTTTACTTCTGCAGATAACCAGGTTTGATAGTGTATTGATAGTTAGGACTTTACCATTTCACTGTTTCAACTTTCCTTATTGGACTAGATTTTATTGCCATAAAAAATCAGGAAAACTGAATGTATGCTAGATTAATCAGCTATGGATCAATGTTGAAAAACTTCTGTTCAGAATTTCTGAAAGGAATGAATTGAAAATGAACAACGTACCTACATTGCAACTTTTCAATTTTGTGAATTAGATTAATTTTTTGTGTCCTAAGTATAAGATTTCCCTATTTAAGGCTAAACATCCCAGGTTTAGTTCCAAATTCTGCCACCACGTCGCAGCACCAAAATTGAGTCATTTTGTGTTGGTGTTTATTGGTGGAATTTTCATCCGATTTTCATTTTGAAAACTGATTTGTGAACGGGATAAGATAACAATTCACGCCATTGAAAATAAATTTGAATGAAGTTGCTGGTTAAAAAAATTATAGTAAAATACCCCCGCCGCAGCAAACCTGCAGACTTAGCGAATTTCCATTTGCCTGATTGGATTTAAACTAAAATGTCTCCTTAAAAATATCACATTTATTCCCTATTTAAACAGAATTAGTTTAACGAGTACTTAGGTTTGCTGCAACAGGGAGGGTAAAAAAGTATTTTTTATGTAAAATATTAAAAGGTACTGTGGTTTAGTAAGAAATTAATGTATTTTCCAAATTTGATCAAAATATGTTCATAAACAAGCAAACTACAACAGTTGACTTATTCTCCATAAGAATAACATGGGAAATTTAAAATAACAATTTTTTTGAATTTTCTCCGTAACAGTTAGGCGCATAATAACGCTTCAATATACTAAATTATTTGTATTTTTAAGCTCTACAAAATGGTTTAAAAAGAAATTGTAAAATTTTGTGTTTTTAGGGTCAAAAATGGGAAAAACCTATTTTTACCCCATAAAACCCCCCATAAACCCCCGTTCCCATAGTCCGATCGTGCTGGTTCGCGAACTCATTCAAGTTTATCCCACCTTACACCTTCAAACCAAATTTTATCAAAATCGGACAAAAATTACTCAAGTTATCGTGCGGATGGACATATATATATATATATATATATATATTAAATATTTAAGTAAATATGTACAACTGAGCACCCTGAATATTATATTTTATAAAAAGAAGTGACAAAACACACTAGTTTCTATATATAAGATATATATTCTATAGTTTCTAGATTCAAAGAACACATTCAAGCTCTTAAGAGTAACAACAGAACATCCATGAAATCAAACTTTGCTGAACACCTTTTATCGACCAACCACAATTACACAAATTTAAAAAACAACATGAAAATTCTAAAAGTTTTAAACAAAGGAAATCGAATGGATTCAACTGAAGAATATTTCATATACGAAGAAAATCTAAAAAATCCAAATCATATTTTAAATAGCCAAATTCCTTCAAGAAACCCAATCTTTGACCAAATTTTAAAATTAAATAATCAGTAACAAAAAAGTTTTTCCAAATCCTGTCTAGTTCTATAAACCATCTGTATATATAAATCATATTTATTTACAATTAAACAATATAAACAATGGTTAAGTGTTTAAAGTATTTTGAAGTTTGAAAATGGACTAATGTCCGAAACATGTCACTTCTTTTTATAAAATATAATATTCAGGGTGCTCAGTTGTACATATTTACTTAAATATTTAATATATCAGCAGCCCTATTAAGTGAACACCTAAATTAAAATATATATATATATATATATCTATATATATATATCTCTATATATAGATATATAAAAATTTGAACGAATGGTGTTTTTGGCCTCTGGGGACATCAAAATGAAAAAGTAAATCGGTCCCGGGCTTAGGTCTTACCATGAGACCTACGGTAATAGCTACTTCCCTATAGGGAAATTCGCTAAAAATTGTGTTACAAAATGAAAAATGAAAATTGCAGGTAGTCATTTTAAAGACAATAATTTTTAATTAATTTTACTTTTTAAATTTTTAAAATCGCTTGGATGGTTTAGTCGGTATTGTTGTTTAAACATTTACAGTAATTACAACAAACGCGAGAGAGACATGAAGCATGTGCAGGATAGGGCCGCTGTGACTCATTCCAAGGTCACAATCACATTTGCTACCCCTCCCCCCCACAACGCTGCTGGGGTGTTGCTTGTACACCGGTGGATGACGATTTCCCGCGCTTCCATACACGAAATACAGAATTGAATTAGGGGTTTTGCTACGCTTTAACCAAAGCAAATTGCAAACAAAATAATTATTTAAAAGTTTTTAAAACTTTTAAATAATTATTTTGAGTGTCATCAAATTTTTTATTTTATGATAATCATATTTAGGCCTAATCAAACTGTAAAATTGGTGTAAATCCGTTGGCAAATATATAAATCTGTATAAATAAAATTACAGTTTTGTCTGTACATTGCTTAGAATCATGCAGTTTTTGGTTATTTTTACGTTTCATAGCCTAAGAAAGCCGAAACGAGTCTTATCTCAATTTCTGTCTGTCTGTTTGTCTATTCTGCAATTCCGTATGTGACGCCAAAATGTCATATTACGCGGCCTACTCCTAGAAAACTAGAGTTCCGATCAAGGTTCTAATCATTTTTCCGTATTTACTGGATTGGTGAGAGTGTCTTTGGCTATAAAAACGTAGCCTCGCTTCTTTGAAAACAAAATAACGAACCATCAAAAACCCAATTTTGTTCGAATTTTGTCAAAATTTCTCCCAATGTTTACTATTACATTTTATGAAATAACGATCAGCTGTTTGGATTAGTTCTCACTTCTAGCTGTCACTGATATGTTTACATTAAAAGTTGTTTACAAATACCGCAACCATTTCCGGAAGATTTTTCTAGCAAACCATCATGAATTTAAAGCTTGGCGTTGTTAACGTATAAATGTTTTGTGGACTGTGTATTTATTTACTTATTTATATATTTGCCAACGGATTTACACCAATTTTAGAGTTTGATTAGGCCTAAAAACTATTATGATAAATTTTTTTGACACTATCAAAACTTTCAAATAATTACTTTGTTTGTAATTTGCTTTGGTTAAAGCTTATAGTCAATGGTTAAAGCGTAGCAAATCCCCTAATTCAATTCTGTATTTTTGTTTGTATGTCTGTTGGTTAAAATGGGGAATGGAGAAAAAGGCATAATAGGGAGATAAGGAATATGTACAATGATTATGATGTAGTAGCACACGTGAAAGCAAGGAGAATAAGGTGGGCAGGACACGCACTACGGAGAGAACGAGGTTCACTACTAAAAGAAGCAAGTATAGGAAAGCCAGAAGGGAAACGACCATTAGGAAGGCCCAAGAAGAGATGGTGGGATAGTGTTTCCAGGGACGTCAGAGAAGTGGGGGCAGAAGTGGAAGAGGCAGAAGATCGAGAGAGATGGAAAGCAGTTGTTGGTGCGGCCAAATCCCGCCTTGGGCATAAATGGCCATGGGAGTGAGTGTGAGTGTGTCTGTTGGTAACGCATTAATGTCCTTATTTCTCAGTGTTTCGTGGAAAAGACAAGAGCACCTTTGAAAATTTCAACCCGAATAAAGTGTGCAATAGTGAGGTTGAGGTAGTATTTTAACTACTTTTAACCAGTGTGAAAAGTAACTTACAATTACAGGCCTACCTTAGGGCTATGCCTCATGGATCATTAAAGCAATTCCTTGTATCATTAGATATTAAAAATGGACTAACACGATCTGGGGACATTTAATTGCGAAGCATTCGTTTTGGATTTGAAACTGTCAGATATTGTATTGATATTGTGTAGGCCTATGTATAGTATTCCTATATAGTAATAGTTTTGCCAGCGTATCTGGAAAAATGCACACTAATATATGCAAACCAACTCCTGTTCTGAATATAAGGTTTCAACTTACTACAAGATTCCCGTAGGCCCTACGTAGAACGGGCAAACAGCTAGTAAGTAAATAAATGCACAGCCCACAAAACATTGATACGTTAACAACGTAAAGATTTAAAAATTCATGATGGTTTGCTAAAAAAATATTTCACTAATGTTTTATCATTTTCATAGCATAAGCTAACATTTTGGAGTCCAGAAAGCAAACGCAAAAATTAGTTTGCGAGAGTGTTTTGCGCCAACTCTCGCAATGCTGTTTTAGCGCTAACACAGCTCGCTATTTTAGTCTTCGGAATGAGCATTCTCAGATAAAGAACTTTCTCATTCTCATTTATGATTACTGTAATATTAATTGCCTGACACAAGTATTCAATTTTTATATATTACTGATTAAATAATCCGAAAATTAAAACTAACCCTAAAACCTGCAATTTATCAATAACTTCTTAAAAATAGTGATATGTCGATGTAACAGAAACATCACCACTGTCTTTCGTGGTCGTGACAAAATTCTGACATTTTTCAGAGGTAACGGAAACATTATAATTCTCTTCCGCGGTCACGGAAACGTATCGTCGTCTCCCGTGGTCATGGATACGTCATCGTCGTCATGCGCGATCGCGGCAAAATCACTAACAAATCCCACAGCCGTTTGGACATAATCGTCGTCTCCCGCGGTCACGGACGGTAAAATATGAAATTTACGCATAATTCCCGGGTTTTTCCCGGTTCAAAAAATTCACGCATAATTCCCGGTTTTCCCGGTCGGTGGACACCCTGAAGACAGGCAAACGGACAGACAAACAGACAGACAGAAATTGAGATAAGACTCGTTTCGGCTTTCTTAGGCTATGAAACCTAAAAATAACCAAAAACTCCATGATTCTAATCAATGTACAGATAAAACTGTAATTTTATTTAAATTAGAGAAATAAGCCGGAGCCCGAGAGAAATAATGATAATTTCTTTAAAAAACGATTCCGATACGACCAAAATTCTTTTAAAATTTATCTTTACAAAATGACTGCCTGCGATTTAAAAAAATAGTTAGCCTACAGCAAAAAAAAATTCGTTATAAAACTTTTTTGTAAACAAATTTTAAAAAACATTAGCAAAATAGCGTGAATGTCTTATTCATATAATTTACAAAACCGTTTACAAAACAAAAATCTGATGATAAATACGGAAATTATAAGTGGTACAAATTTGCCACAGAGGTGCTGCTATCTATCGGGCCAGAAACACAACTTTTTCAGGGATGTTTAGCCTTAACATATGCCTTTACTCTTGACTCTAGAAGTTGTATATGAAGACTGTTAGCACTGAAGTGACGTATCAAGTTGCTTCTAACCTTCGTTTCATAAGAGCACAGAAAGCAGCTGAGAGCATTTAGTCAATTAGCTGCTTGTGGCACTTTGTCCAAACCTTGATGTGGAAAACCTGGTCTTGGACTCTACTTCAGCTATAGATTTAGTTCGTGGTTTTTTTACCCACACTCATAGATTCAAATACATCAGGAGAATAGAACAAGAGATATTATCATGAATGAAAAAGGTATCTTGACATGTCACTGTCTCAGAATAAAAGTGAATCTCTTGATACAAATAATACATCTAAAAGTGTGATTGACATCTCTATTCCATTCATGCAACAAGTGTAGCGAAAGATGCTGATACATTCAGCATTATTACTTAGAAAATAGTCTTCAAGGAAATGTTTTCTGATCTAAAGGAAAAAGTCAAGATAGTGAAAAAAATCTATTAAACACAAAGAATAAGATGGTTTACCAGCTTGTTAGAAGTTGCCCGAAAGGATGTGTAAAGGAGGATTTATCTACCAAACCAATGACAAAAGACAAATGTTGTTGAAAATGATGACTCTTGATTTCTTAGAATTTTAATTCAATGGAACTGGAAGATAATTGGTAGGTAAATGAAGACATAGCTTCTCAAACTTAAACTGTCTCCTATTATTCTAAAGATTGCTTAAAAGTTAGTTTTACCATCTTAAAATACCTCATGTTAATATACTATAAATAATTTCGTTAATTAATAGAGTTCAGCTAGCTTACCTGAGACATAGACCCACCTACACAAGTAGATTTCCCATCCCTTTGTAAATTTTGAAGATGGTTTTTGTGTCTAGTTCATGTCCGGTGACACTGGTGGCTAGTTTCGACGAAATTTTGTGTCTTATTACTTTAGAGTTAATTTCATGATTCGTGCTTTACTGTTTGGTTATATTCACGTAGATTATTGTGGGCTTCACTCACCTTTATTTTCGTCTGTGATGTCCGGGACTCGTCAAAACACACATATATACAACACAAAATCGTCCACGGCATCAAAAGTCCGACGTTTCGCAGAACTCAAAAAAACGTTCCGCTTCCTCAGGGTGGAAATATACTATTTTTATCCCGCACGCGGGTCGAACGCCTAACCACGACTGGTTATATACTGTTTGGTTACATAACTAGATGATGAGTTATTGTTTATGATTATATCGTTTTATTTGGTAAAACGGGGTTTTAAATGACTGAAATAACAAGAAACAAATTTTAAACAAAACACAACATCTACAGTGCACCGGACAGAACTAACGATAAAATTGGCTTCAGCTGTTCCATAAAGAACTTTGACTTTCTATACAAAAATTATATGTTGACGAAGCCTATTGTAACTGTGTTATCTAATGGCAAATAAATTCTTGATTCTTGATTCTTGAAGATGGGAAATCTACAAAGGGAGTATGTTTTATTTATGCATGAGATTAGAGACCATGGTGGAAGAAAAATATATAGGTGTGCTATTCCCGTCATATGCTGATGTCACTCAGATTGCAAACATAATTTTACCAATTAGAAAAATTACAAAAACAATAACAATCAAGTCAAAACAAATATATACTTATATGGCAATACATCAGCTGATTTTTTGTTTGCAAATCTGGGCGACGTCAGTAAATGATGGGAATAGCACACCTATGTACTTTCCTTCCACCATGATTAGAGGCCAGGATCTAATAAATGTATAAAGAACACAAAACAGGCTTAACTTTTACTTTTTTTATGAACAAAATAATTTGTTGGTTAAAGCTGATCTTATGATTATTTCATCGTTTGTTTTACTTTATCATGACTGCAAAACCAGTTGGCTGTGATAATGCTTGTGTAATAATATTTTGCCAAATGCTTGTTAATTATGCTGTAGGCTATATAACTAGTTAATGGTAATGCTTTACTATGTTGATATTTTAACCTTTTGAACTCCAATAAGGAATATATTGGACACAAACTCTAACCAAACTTTCACTTACATTGAAAGATACACATGATATATGCTGCTGCACGGGAGTCAAGTGTAGAAGTACGCTCGGGCCATTGGTTGACCAGTAATGTGATTGTGGTACTCAAGTTTAACAATAGTTGAGCAGTCTAGATTGAGGGTTTGAATCCAGTGTCAGGTCTAATTCAAGCCCCACCTAAAACAAACAGTGGATGGCGAGGTTGGAAGTTGGCTTGTAAACTCCCTAAAGCCCCTCCTAACCTAAAATCAGATACTTTGCTACCATAAGCTGATCCTTACATTGTGCGTTTACTGATAACTTGTTTTAAAACGATTTGGATTTTGACATTCATAAGATGAGGAGAAACCACATCAAAACTAGGAATAATTGAATCGCCGACTATTTCATAGAGTTTGAAGAGTTAATGATGGGTACTAAGAAAATAAATTCTAAGAAAGCATAGGTTATCAAAATGTTTAAGATCAATCATATTATGGAGTATCCTATATTATAGGAGCCAAATTGTTTGCAATGGATTTTATTATGGTATTTTTGCCTTCTAGTGTTTGTTTAATTCTTTAAATATGTACAATGCCTTCAGAATAACCATTTTTAATTATTTTGAGATTTTCCTGTACAAATATTTGCTTTCTAGGTTACGAACAAATCATACGAAAAAGAAAAACATAGTGAAAGTTAACATACAGTTCCTTAGTTGGCTGTGTGAAAAATCATTTATGAAAAGTGTTAAGTTTAGGTTGATGTAGTTTTAACAGCACAATTACTGTTTGTGACTATTTTACTTCGCCTTGTCAGTTCTTACCATAGAATCGATTCTATGGAAAGAATAAAAAGTCACATCTTTCCATAATTTGTTAAACATTTTCAAAGAGAAAATTCTAGTATGTTTAATGCATCTCTCTTTAGTAATTTCCTACTAATTATTAGATCAAACTATTTCAAAACAATCTAGGGTTCTCTTTTTTTGTTAAGCTATAAGCTGTATTTAGTACAGTGATAGATTCACTAACTTGTTAAACTATCCAGCTGTCTTTAGTATAGTAACAGAACTAATATCATTGTTATTGTTAAGAAAACTAATGGTATTCTGGTTCAATCTAGATGTGAGGAAAATCATTCTGAAAACATCTTGACTCGTTCTTTTAAATTCTAGTCCAAAGATTTGTATTAGTTTTCCTATTGAATCATTATTTACGTTTACATAATCATCAAAACAATTATTGCTGATAATAGCTAGTTAGATTAATAATTCATGCATAGTTTTATGGTACTTCTTTTTGTGAATTTGTTCTGAATGTGATATTTGAAATAAAATTATATTTTTGACCTACCTTAATACCTTTGATGAAGACCCTTGCATCATTTATTTGAAAGAAAAAATGTCAAGATTATCTAGAATCTTCTTTATTTGCTTATTCTTGGAAGTCTAACTCTTTTCACACTAAATGGTTTTTGCTGTTCAGTTAAAATCTGTGAAATGCGTGAAATACGGTTGCCGTGTCATTGTTTCTTTCACATTACACTGAATGGCAAAATTAATGTGTACACTACTAAACATTACTGTTAACACTTTCGCTAATTTTGGATGATACATCAATACGTATAATAAACTTTGGGTGAATAAATAGACAAGCTAAATATTATCAACAATATATTTATTATAAATGGTTAACAACACAAATGTGAGATACAATGAACATGAATTGTGATTAATGAATTGGTTTTGGAACGGCCTGCGTTTTGTCTCACTGAGAACTGTTTGTCCTGAAACTGGGTGTGTAAAGATGAAATGTCCAAGTATTTTCAGTACACATGGACCATGCCGTAGAGGAATCTTTTGAGGTAGTTAAAGAAACAATTCATAAAACAATACACTAAATACTTACGGTACCCTTAGTATTGGAATATTCTTTTTCTGACCAGAGGGTTTGGATCTGCAAAACTTCAAAATAGAGTAATGCCAACAATTAACACCAAAATAAAAATACATTTCAATCAGTACGAAAACTTTAGACTTTTTTATCCGTAAACAACTCCTGAAATTTTTCTTTCATTTTTACTTTCTCCCCCAATACATTGTATGTATGTAAAATTTATGGTTTTCTTCAAAGTTTTCGAGTTTGAGTGGATATTTTCGTTTTGGGTCCCTCTGAACACAAAAAAGTGGTCTGTGAAGTGATGTTTGTGTGTGTGTGTATGTACAGAGCTACAGATCACACATGTAGTCCGATTTTGATTCAATTCGGTATGTAGGCACTAATAGTATCTCCAGGCGTATTTTTCATTTGCCTTAAATTTTGTTAGATTTTAAATCGTTATTTTCCAATTAAAAACCCATAAAATTACGGAAAAATGGTAATGGGAAAAAGTATGTATCATATTGCCGATGCAGTTGATTTCCAAACAGAAACAAACGATTATGACATTTTCTAGCCAAACAGATTTGTTAATTATAATATTTTTGGTAATTAGGATTCTATTTTTGAACAATGCATTTTTGTTCTTACACACGTCATTAAGAGTTACACTTACAATTTTTAGTCATGACTTAGTCGTATTGGTCTAGCTACCTCTTTGAGTTGGTTGTAAGTCTTTTTCTAACAGACGGTCGAAGTTATGATGTGGGACATAGAATGGGCGTTATACCGTAAGCCTGTTCAGACCAAGAACAGTGTCTTTGCTGCAGTTGGTAGAACTTGAATGGCCCATTTATTTGCCTATACTTACATTTACCTTTAAGGTTGTCAGAGTTCTTTGAGATATGATCACTTTGCTGACATATAGAATCTGTTCAACCTCTATGATTATTTAATTATTATTTAACCATATGTTTTTATTTACTTTCTTTAATAATATTGTCTTATTAATGTCTTGATTAAAAACAGTTTAGTTTCTTTTGATCTTTTAATTTTAATCTAAATAAGAAATAGAACATGGCGCAGTCGAATGAAGAACCCGTATCTCTGAACATTAAGCCTCCTGAAGCCTTTTCCTTCAATCCTCACGACTGGAAGACATGGAAGACTCGCTTTGAGAGGTATTATTCCCTTAGTAATTTAGCTCTACATTCTGGTAAGCATCAGATTGACATGCTTATATACTGTATGGGGGAAAAGGGAGAGGATATACTTAACTCATTCAGGTTAAATGACAATGACAAATCTAATTACAAAGTTGTTCTAAAGAAGTTTGACGATCATTTCCTTCCAAAAAAGAACCTAATTTTTGAACGGGCTAGGTTTCTAAAACTTAAACAGGGTTCCATGCCGATTGAGAACTTTATCACAGACCTTCACAATCATGCCAAAAACTGTTATTGGGGTCAGATTGAAGAGGAGATGATTCTGATGGTTTTGATTATTGGTATGCAGGACGAATCACTAAGTGATCGTCTTCAACTTGAACCCGAATTAAAACTTAACACAGCTATTAACACTATCCGTAGATCTGAAGAACTAACAAGACAGAAACAAACACTAAACTTGGCTGACATAGCATTAATAAACCAAAACACTCAACATTTAAGTAAATCAAACATTTCTCCTGATAAATCAAACAATAATTGATACTTTAAGCCAATTAATGACAATAAAAGCCTGTCCAATGTCAAAAAGAGATGTTTTTGGTGTGGCTCGACAGTTTTACACAAAAGATTCAACTGTCCAGCTAAACAATACAAATGTGGGTTTTGTAAAAAAGTCGGTCATTTCCCAAATGTTTGCAAATCAAACAAAGTCAGTCAAATTGAATATGATGATTCTCCCCTTGAAAACCCCACCGAAAATGTTTGCTCTCAGTACATAGACCCTCAAATTGGCTCTGTTGACAAAACCGTACGTGATGATCCTTGGTCTGTAGTGTTAAATATGAACGACAGTGATGATGTTCTTTTCAAAATTGATACAGGAGCAGACGTAACGATTTTGCCTTACAAAGGTAATACAACCAAACCGAACAATCCTATTCCTTTATCCATTAAAGATACAATGCCAGATACTCTGCCATTTACTACTGTTACTCAAACCAACTCGTCCCTATCAAATACTACTGAAAAAGCAACTACTACTCCATCTAGAACAAACCAAGATTACAGTAAACCTTTTTCACGATCAACAATTCCCAATCAAGAAGCTGCAATTAAAAAATCATCAAGAGGCAGAATTATAAGACCAACCAAACGATTTCCTGAATAAACTTTGAGAAAAAAAAAACTCAAAGGGAAAGATGTTCAACCTCTATGATTATTTAATTATTATTTAACCATATGTTTTTATTTACTTTCTTTAATAATATTGTCTTATTAATGTCTTGATTAAAAACAGTTTAGTTTCTTTTGATCTTTTAATTTTAATCTAAATAAGAAATAGAACAGAATCAACAACATAGTTTTAGAATGTTTTTATTGCCTGTGGTACAACTGTAACTTTGCATGAAACATGGTAGTCCAACTTGCAGACAGTTCTAGTAATTTTAATTTTGATGTATGCTACATTAGGTGATAGGGCATTTGATGAACTAAGTATATTGCCTTTATTTATTTTGTTTTACTTATGTGAATTATATTATGACAATTAGCCTATTACACTAACACAACGCAGGCTGGCAGTTTGCATATAATGCGGTATGGGCATGAGAATTAATTAAGCTCCCCCCACTCTTCATTTCAGGAGAAAGATTCTCTTTCTTGCGCCCCTAGGCCTGGCCCATTTAAAAGTGACCCTGACACATCTTGATAATAGCAAATCAGTTCGAGCCAGTTTTTGCAACCAATTAAAAATAAATTTGCTTATAAAATAATGATTCAAGGCCTAGTAAAGCCAATTATAAACCAATCAATGAAAATAAACTCTTTTTAACAGAAACCTTAGACACTAAAATGAAATTAATACAAGAATTTACTAAATGTTGATAAGGATACGTCCAGAAGAGAACATATGTCTGTAAATAAGTTAAGGAAACAACAGAGCAAGCCAATAAAATATAACTATGTAGCTATAGTCAACTCATATATATTTTTATGTACTTTATAAAGGGGACTGCAACTTACTATGAAACTGTATTCTCGTCCATGATGCAAGATGCAGACGTAGGCTGTAGCCATTTGACAAAGAACTAATTTACACTCTCAATTGTCTACACCTCATATGCAATTTACTTACAAAAAACCATGTAATTTTACACTATTTAGATCAGAGGTGCCCATTCCCCCCGAAGCCAGAGGCACAATCCCCCCCCCCCCAGCCAGAGGAGCAGTTCCCCCCATTATATGCTGCCCTCTATTTGAAACTTCCCCCACCAATTTACTTGGCAATTTCCCCTTACCACATTATACAAACATTTCATAAGTATTTAGTAAACTTGAGGTAAACAAAAACAAACTTGCTGACAATCAAAATGAAATGTTTAATAGTGTCATTTAACAATACAAAACTAACGGGCGAATTGGAACTTTTAATTTTTAAATTTACAATTCAGAGTCTGTATTGTCAGCCAACATGTTCTCAGTATTGCAACACAGACAACATCTTAAAAACGTTCAACAATATATTCGGTGAATTACTCTACTCCAACCCAGTACTGTACAACATATTAGGTGGTGTAAATGTTTACAGGGCTTTAAGTGCATGAATAATGCTTTACAAAAAGTAGCTAGTTTCAAAATTAGACTTATATTATTGAAATCAGAGTCACGAAATAGGGCAGAGTGGGGGGTTACGCGCCACTCCCAAAATGCCTTCTACGAAAATCAAATGCACAAAACCCCCCACCACCCACCAGCACCAAATGTTTTTGTGACAAAGAAATCTTATGATTAATTTTGAGAGCCCCAGGACTGCGTTTTATGACGGACAATGGTAGAAACGCATCTTGTCAGACAATCCTTAATATGAATGGTAGTGTCGAATTTTACTTGCTACACATATGTTTTGGCGGTTCTTTTAGCTCCACCATCGTCAGGCTTACAAAAGGATCCACTTCTGGAGGTGTCGTCAGAATACGATACAAACATTTAACACAAAACACAAAACGGTTACAGATAGGCCTATCAATTCACGGATGTACATTGCTGAGGATAGGACTGGAAGTAAACTGAATCAGGTTATGACGGACCGACATGGTCTCTGGATTGTCGTCTGTGTTATCAACAGCTGATATTGGACTAATTGTAGCGACAGAGAAGAGTGTTGGAAATATAATGGGATTCAAAATTGAGTTTTCCATTCATAGTTATTGATAATAAAATCCATGATATGCTGGATATAAATGATGGTCTCGACAATCTACATTACTGCCGGAAAGGACATTTCTTAAATACTTTGGAAGAGTTTGAAATAGGGTATATACAAACATAAAAACTAGGGACAGCACACAAATTTTGAATGAAAACACTCAATAATTAATTATGAATTCCATTATATTTTCAACACTTCTCCGTCACTACAATTAGTCCAATATTAGCGGTTGATAACACAGGCGACAATCCAGAGACCACGTCAGTCCGTCATAGCCTGATTCAGTTAACTTCCAGTCCTGCCCGCGGCAATATACACGCGTGAAGGGATAGGCCTATCTGTAACCGTTTCGTGTTTTCTGTTTTTACCATTTTTAGAAGTAATCTGAATAACAAAAATGAGGTTGGTGTTAAGAGTGAGCTACTTAGAAACACCTTTTTGGTCTGCTTATACAAAATTATACATTTATTATGACAGGTAGCAGAAAAAAATCCCCCCTAAATATGCCCCAGGCACCTCTGATTTAAATACTTTATAGATTTATGAAACTACACATAAACTATCTAGTTGATTAATTTATATTGAAATTTGTTCAAGAGGAAAATCTAAATAGGTTTTTAAGGTTAAATAATGGTTAACAGAGATAGGACTATTATTATGTTAAGTGAAGATGTTGAATGAAATTAAATGAAATTTGTCAGTCACAGACACTGTGTAAGTTTGATATGTTTACACATAAGACATAAGACATATTTTATTTACACAATACGTTCTTTATAAAGTACATTTCATACATAAGAACAGGTGTTTCGTCATAGTGATGTTTTTTATAGTAAAATTAATAGTTAAAATAATTAAAATAAACTCATGTAGGATATCAGAGAATTTTTATCTACATTATAGGGTTCTCCAAAAATTCCTCAAGTGAATAGTAGGCTTTCTCAATTATTTTATCTTTTATTTTATCTTTGAATTGAGTAGCATTTAATGTTTTAAGATACAGGGGTAATTCATTGTACAATCTAAGTCCCATATATTGAGGGCTGTTCCTAAAAGTCGTCAATTTGTGATGTGGTAATCTGAAATTATATTTATTCCTTGTATTATAATTATGTGTAAATTTGACTACATCTGACAAATTTTCCTTAGTGTTATGTTTTGTGTTTGTTTCTTGTAACTTATGCATAAACACAATACTGTAAACATAATTGGTTTTGCTTGAAATTATATATCGGTTAGATTAATGACCGTGATCATGACAAACAAGACAAACCTGTGTAGGTTTTGATATTTTTTAGTTAGAAGGTTTTTTACCAACTAAATACAGTAGACTCCCTCTTATCCGGACTCCTCGGGACCGAGGCCAGTCCGGATAACGGGTTTTCCGGTTAAACCAACGTCCCAAAAAACTCGTTAAAACGGACTGTTTACTGTGATATTTGACTAAAATTTAGGAGAGCATTGTATTAAGACACGTGATCACTGGTCTCAAATCTTTCCCACGAGAACAGGCGTTTCAGTACTGCCAACTTCCTTCCGATCTAGTCCGGTTAAACCAATGTGCTGATAAAAATTGTCCGGTTAAAGAGATGTCATTTCCGCCGAGTGTAGTCCGGATAAACCGATGTACGGTTAAAAGGTGTCCGGATAAGAGGGAGCCTACTGTATAAGCAATCATTAAAAGAGTATCTAGAAATGAAATGAGCTAGGAAGGTAACCAATACAATATATAATGTTTGCTTGGAAAGTGTTAAGATTAGAGCAATGTTGTAAAGGATACAAATAACCCTCCGAAGAATCCATTCGTCAAAAGAGTTCTCCTGTTCACAAAATATTTTTTCCATTTAGGACCAGCTTTCATCAGTAGAAGTCCCTGAAATAGAAACAGACTAAATAAAATATGATAGTTGAAAAATGATAGATTCGAACCTTGATGGGACAGCAACAGGTTTGACTTCTTTGCATATTTTCACAGCGTATGCATTCCTTTCCCTTAAAAGATTGGTTGAGATTCTTCTATGGAAATGCAATTGGAGCGAGTATAAAATAGATCCACCATATCATACGGTACTATTTTGAGGATTTATCATTTAGATAGGCCTACATCAGTTGAAGAATTGTATCAAGTCTTTTTATGCAGAGAGCATTTTGTTGTTTACTATTTATTGTTTTTAACCAATATCCTACATGAATTATTTTTCTCTGGTATCTATATACTGTATAAAGCCAAAAGTGCCCATGAACTTTTGAGAAAACTACAAGTCACACCCCCATAAACCATATACTTAAAATGTTCGTCATGACGAGAAACCTTGCGCAATATTGTCCATTATTTCTTAAATTGCCCTATAAAGTCGTAATTGCTTTCTAAAGGGAACTTTCTATATACCTATTGTTAAAAATACCTCAGCTGTATTCATTTGTATGATATTCTTTCAATTTATTACCTTATTAAAATCTGGTGAGATTATTTGTTTGTATTACTGTATTCTGTTTTGTTTATTTCAGCTTAACCTAACCAATCAATAGTTTTATTAATACTTATGAAGTCAAACGGGGTGAAGCCTGTGGGTAACAACTAGTTACAACTAAAGATTACACCATAAATTAAAAAAAAACTTTCCTAAAATAAGAGAGAAACATTGTTCAGCATCATTAAACGCAAATGTAACATTCGTACGCTTTTGTGGATAATGTCATTAAATCCATAGTGGTTTTAGCTTTAGCATCACAGAAGACAGTTTGAGATGATTACTTTATTAAAGAGACTTCTAACCGTGCCGGTGCCGGTAAGAAGTCAGGTTAATGACATGCCCGGTATCTCAGTTGATCTCAGTACCAATGCATCATTTGTTTCTGTAGATCCAAGTAGGCCTAATAATAGTGTTTAGCCTTAATAAGACTGCCAAGCTAAAACCACTAAAAAACCCACCAGTTGTAAATGCGGATACTACTTTCTTGTTTCTAAATATCCAGGGCTTAAAAAATAAAATATCAATTTTAGAGTCATTTTTACTCAGTAATAATATTTCTGCTATCGGTCTAACTGAACATTGGTTAAGAACAGAAGAAGTTGCCTTGGCATATCCTGATGGTTTCTGTTGTAGTAGTGTTTTCTGCAGAACTGATCATATAAGGGGGGGCTCTTTAATTTTCACTAAAAACTTTTTAAAGGTTAAAATGTGTGATTTGGACCAGTTTTGTTCTGAAATGAGTTTAGAAGCAGCAGCGGTCTTTATCGAGGATTTTAAATTAATTTTTGTTTCAGTCTACCACTCACCTTCGGGCAACCCTGTGGTTTTTCTTGAAAATTTTGATAAATTATTAACTCATCTTTCTCGTTGGACTAATTATGTTTCAATTATTGGAGGAGATTTTAATAAAAATTTTGACTTGACACAGAACAACTACCTCTCTAAACAATTTCTTAATATACTCCGCCAGCACAATTTTCACTTCCTAAATCACTACCCCACTCGAGGCAACAATTGCCTGGACAACGTATTAACAAACTGTAATAAAAATGCAAACATAAGCTGTAAAGTTTTTGATTTTCCTTTCTCCGACCACAATGGTCTTCTATTAAATATAACTTTGAATTTGGGAAAAAATTGCGTTAATCAATATGCTGCTTTGAACTCCTTTTCTAAAGTAATTTTGCCAAAAGATTCGGTGGGTGTGTTAGTGGATAAGCTTGGTACTTATGATTGGACAAAAGTTCTTAATTGTATAAATCCAAAAGCAGAAAATATCTTTAAAATGTTTTTCAAAGTTTTAAAAGATAACATTTTTTATTTTTCTAAAGTAGTAAAAATTCAGACTGAAAATTCCAAAAAAAATAAAAGGTTATGTTTTTAGGAAAAAGCATTTAGCTTGGATTAAATAAATAAATATAGGATGGAGAGGACACAGCTAACTCACCTGATGAAAGGTTGCAGATGAGTCAAAGAACACATAAAATCACACACATAATTTACTTAATATTTCGCCTCTTTCAGAGGCTTCTTCAGAAGTAGGCCTAGATGGTAGTTACAAAACAACAGTTTAAATAGGATGACACAGTTTGAATTCAAAATGTCTGACAGGTTGTCCAACTGACACTGCACAAAGCACTAAATACAGGCACATTGCAATATTGTATTTACATATAATATGTACATTGAAAAGCAAATTAGTTTTGTCCATGAAAATAAATACTTAAGAGTTAGCTGTGAGGGTGAGGATATGAGGATATTATCTAATGTTGAGGTTAGGTGGGGTTCTGGAGTTGGTCACAAACTGGTAAGCTAATTCCCATCTTCTGAGCATTGAACTATTGCATTGGTTCTTTGGCAATGATTTTAGAGCTTTTATGGTGAAACAGTCATCAAATAGAAGTTGGTGGGATAAGGCATGTTGTGCAACTGGTTTTTCTTTGCTAGTTTTAACATCATGTCGATGGCCGTTCATGCGTTTTCGGAGAGTCTCGGTTGTTAGGCCTATGTACTGGGCTGGACAATGTGAACATTGAAGCTGGTAGATAAGGTTCTCTGAGCTGCAGGTATGATGGCCTTGGATTCTGTAATTTTTATTATGGTATGTGCTGGTAAAAGTTTCTGTAGGATGGTGTATCTGGCAAGATTTACATCGGTTTTCATTGCATGGGTATGAGCCCGGTCTTGGTTTCTCAGATGGTATTTTTGATGGATTTGGGAGTTTTGGGTGGACTAGCATATTCCTCAAATTTGGGGGTTGCCTATAGATTATGGAAGGGGCTCTTGAAAGGAGGTTTTTGGTTTGGCTGGAGGACTCTAGGATTTTGAAACCTGTTTTAAGGAGGTTGTTTAGTTGTTGCAGGCCAGGGTGGTAAGTGGTTATCAAATTTACTTGAAGATGGTTGGTATTTTTCTTTGTAGTTGGACGTGGGTTCTGAGCCGCTTGGATCTGAGATTTTACGAGAGTGCTAGGATAGCCTCGGTTTTCGAAGGCTTTTTGAAGTTGGGTTTGGTATTGTGTACGGTCTTTCGGTTCTGAAATTAGGCGATTTCCCCTTAGGGCAAGACTGTAAGGAAGTGATCTCTTGGTGTTATTCGGATGACAACTAGAAAAATGGAGGTATTGTTGGTGGTTGGTCGGTTTTATGTGGATAGATGTGGTGAGGCTATTGTTCCTTAGATGAATTGTAAGGTCTAAAAAGTTGATGGAAGTCTCAGAGAAATCCCAGGTGAAATTTAGCGGTCCAAAACTGTTGAGGTCTTCCAGGAACTTCCGTAGTGATTCTTCACCGTGGGTCCAAATTATGAAAATATCGTCAATGTATCTAAACCAGCAGATGGGGAGGTGTTCACGGCTAGACAAAAACTTTTCTTCATAATTCCCCATGTAGAGATTAGCATAAGATGGGGCCATTCTTGTACCCATGGCAGTGCCCTTGATCTGTAGGAAGTGTTTGTCCTGAAATTGGAAATAGTTCTTTTCCAGAATGAATTTTATCAGTTGAGTTATAAACGAAGTGGTGGGTAGGGATCCTTTGGGTCTGTTTTGAAGGTAGTTTTCTGTTGCTGTTAGGCCGTGGACATGAGGTATGTTTGTGTAGAGTGAGGTGACATCAATAGTGGCCATGAGAGTGTTAGCGGGGAGTGGTTGTCTGACATTGTTAAGTTTTTGCAAAAAATCATTGGAGTCCTTGATATATGAGGCCAAGTTTTGTACTAGCGGTTGTAGATAGGCGTCTACGTATGAAGAGATACGTTCCGTTAAAGAACCGCAGCCTGATACTATGGGCCTTCCTGGCGGTGGTGTTATGCCTTTGTGGATTTTTGGTAATATGTAGATTTTAGGGCAGATGGGTTCTTCTGGTATTAACAGATTTGTTGTTTCTGGGGAGATATTGTTGGATTTGGAGTGTTTGTAAATTATTTCCTTGAGTTCAGCGGTGTACTTTATAGTTGGATCTTCTTTCAGAGGGAGGTAGGTGGAAGAATCACTGAGCTGGCGTTGGATTTCTGACACATAATCAGATTTATTCATTATCACTGTGGTCGAGCCTTTGTCAGCTGGAAGGATCATGATATCAGTATTTGATTTTAAAGTTGAAATGGCTTTTTTCTCGGCTTCGGTGAGGTTATGGAGTGTTGTAGAGGTTACGTTGTTTTCGAAAGTGGGATCTGAGATGTTTTGTACCAAGAAGTTGATGTATTGTTCTATCGGATGGTCTGCTGGTAACGGAGGGGGATCGAAGTCCGAGGGTGGAGCAAACTTCGCTAGGGAGGGCGCCACACTGTTGGATTTCGAGTTGTCTTGATCTTGTGAGTTGAAATAATGTTTGAGACGTAGGTTCCTAGCTAGCGACATGATGTCTTTAACTAGGCCAAAATGGTCAAAACGGGGTGTGGGACAAAAACTGAGACCCTTGGTCAAAACTGTTTTTTCTATTTCTGAGAGCTGGTGGTTGGATAAGTTGCAAACTTGTTGTTCATTTGTAGAGGTTTCAGGGTTGTTTGGGACAGAATTGCTCTTGAATGGGGAAGTAGGAATCTTCGGTGGTTTAGGTAGAAAGGGTTTTTGGCCTACTGGTATAGGTAGTCCTAAGAGGGAGGCCAGACAAGGCCTATCTGAGATTAGAGGAACCTGATGTGGTTGGGTTTGTTGGACTAGGCCTATAGATCCATATTGATGTATATGTTTGATACAAAGGTTAGAGAGTTTTCTGAGTTTTCTTTCAGCTTCTTTGTTCATATTAATTAAGGCTTTCTGTGCTATTGAATTGAGATTATCTGCTAGTTGTGGTTTGTCATTCAAAATCAGCTTTGTGAGGTCAGAAAGAGCCTTTCTGTGGTTATACATTTGTTTAGAGTACAGTTGTCCACCCAAAACTCCCAAATCCATCAAAAATACCATCTGAGAAACCAAGACCGGGCTCATACCCATGCAATGAAAACCGATGTAAATCTTGCCAGATACACCATCCTACAGAAACTTTTACCAGCACATACCATAATAAAAATTACAGAATCCAAGGCCATCATACCTGCAGCTCAGAGAACCTTATCTACCAGCTTCAATGTTCACATTGTCCAGCCCAGTACATAGGCCTAACAACCGAGACTCTCCGAAAACGCATGAACGGCCATCGACATGATGTTAAAACTAGCAAAGAAAAACCAGTTGCACAACATGCCTTATCCCATCAACTTCTATTTGATGACTGTTTCACCATAAAAGCTCTAAAATCATTGCCAAAGAACCAATGCAATAGTTCAATGCTCAGAAGATGGGAATTAGCTTACCAGTTTGTGACCAACTCCAGAACCCCACCTAACCTCAACATTAGATAATATCCTCATATCCTCACCCTCACAGCTAACTCTTAAGTATTTATTTTCATGGACAAAACTAATTTGCTTTTCAATGTACATATTATATGTAAATACAATATTGCAATGTGCCTGTATTTAGTGCTTTGTGCAGTGTCAGTTGGACAACCTGTCAGACATTTTGAATTCAAACTGTGTCATCCTATTTAAACTGTTGTTTTGTAACTACCATCTAGGCCTACTTCTGAAGAAGCCTCTGAAAGAGGCGAAATATTAAGTAAATTATGTGTGTGATTTTATGTGTTCTTTGACTCATCTGCAACCTTTCATCAGGTGAGTTAGCTGTGTCCTCTCCATCCTATATTTATTTATTTAATCCAAAAAAAATAAAAGTAATGCTTGGTATACTAGTGAGTTAAGAGTTATGAAAGAAAGATGAATTTTTCTTGATAAAATTGTAAAAAATAGTCGAAGTGTTTCAAATGAAACAAAACAAGCATATAATGGGTTAAAAAATCAATATAAGCATTCAATTAAGAAGGCCAAAATAGAATACAACACAAATCTCATAGAAAAAAGTAATAACAGATGTAAAACTGCTTGGCAAGTCATTAAAACCAGTGGCAACTCTTTAATTAATACAAAAAAACCTAAAATATCTCCTGATATTTTCAATACATTTTTTATTGAATCAATTGAAAACATAAAAATGAAAATTGTTAGTAATGCCTACAGTTCAAAAGATTTAGTTAATAAGTCTTCCATTACTCCTGTGCCTTTTTCCTGGAATTTTATCGCACCTAATGATCTAATAAAAGCCACAAAAAAACTAAAAAACTCTAGCAGTAATGATGTTTATCTTATGTCTAATAGTTTGCTTAAACAGATAATTGGTAATCTAGCTGAACCTCTATCTTACTGCTTTAATCTCTGTCTCCTTGAAGGCGTCTTTCCAGATGAATTAAAGGTCACCAGAGTCTGTCCCATTTTTAAAAAAGGTAAAAAAGACATTCCAGAAAGTTATCGCCCAATATCAATCATTCCTGTAGTATCAAAATTGTTTGAAATCATGGTCTTTGATCAGCTGAATTCTTTTTTTGAAAGAAACAACTTTTTAAGTGTTTCGCAATTTGGATTTAGAAAGGGCAAGTGTACATCAGACGCAATAGATAAATTGATTAATGAGGTACTAATGGTCTTTGAGAGGAAGTCACTTGCTCAGGCCACTTTTTGTGACCTGAGTAGGGCTTTTGATTGTGTGGACCATGATGACCTGATAATGAAATTAAGTTTTTACGGTATCAACGGAACTCCACTTTCTTTTTTCAAGTCATACTTAAACAATAGAACACAAAAAGTCAATATTGATGGAGACTGGTCCCAAGAATTAAAAATAAAATATGGCGTGCCTCAGGGGTCTGTTCTAGGTCCTCTGTTATTTTTAATTTGTATTAACGACCTCCCAGCATGTATAACTAGTAAAACTTATTTGTATGCAGATGACACAACATTTTTAAATATTAATCCTGATCTTAAACAACTTCAAGAGTTAGCTCAAAACTCAATTAATGAAGCTTCTATCTGGTTTGAATCTAATGGCTTCCTCTTAAATAAAGATAAAACTCAAAAAATTGTTTTTCGCCTTAGACCGTGTGAATTAAATATGTTGGATGGCTATGTAGACAACGTGAAATTTCTTGGTATTTATCTGGATAAGACTCTTTCCTGGGGACCTCATATTGATTACATAAGTTCTAAGCTTTCAAGGGTAATATGTCTTATGACTAAACTAATACATTGTATAGATCAAAATTATATTAAAACAGCCTACTTTGCTTATTTTCAATCCATTTTTAGATACAATATTATATTTTACGGCAATTGCAGTAGGATAGAGGAAATTCTAGTCTTACAAAAGAAGTTGGTTAGAATTATATCCTATGAACCCCAACAGGAACACTGTAAACCCCTGTTCATTCAGCTACAAATTCCAACAGTGATTAACATTTATTTATTTGACTCTGTATCATACGTTCTAAAAAATCCCAACTTAATCAAACAAATTTCTCATGTTCATTATACTAGGAATAAAAGCGTTGCTGCCATAGATTTTTTCAGACTGTCTAAAACTCTTAAAAGCCATATTGTAATCTCACTAAAAATATACAACAAACTAATACATTTAATACAAAAATATCCTGAAAACACTTTTAAAACAAAATTCTACAGATGGCTTTTGAACAACCCATTCTATTCTCTAAATGAATTTTTTGAAATGTCTGGTATTAATTTTTAAGTAGAGTTAAGAGTTTGCGAATTGACCAAATTATTTACTGTTGGACTTTGTTGGTTATGCGGTTTAATCACTTCCATTATTTTCAATGCCACAAATTTTTCTTAAGATTAAGATTACCTATTCAATTGTAATATTTAAAATGTGTATTGTAAAGTGTCTCATTTTATGTAGTTAGCTATATTGTATCTTACTGTATTTATTAACTGACTATGCTATAAACCTTAGCAGTTGTATGACTTTGTCAATAATTTGTGAAAATTCTAAGGACAATAAACACATTTCATTTCATTTCATTTCATTTCATTTCATTATGTGAAACCAGCCTTAAGCCCCGTTCACACGGGGCGAGTTTACAAGCTACAAGCCGGATTTTTTACACGCAGCTAGTAAAATAGCTCATTGTGAACGACGTACTCGCTCAAAAGCTGCTTGTAAAAAAGCTCTGGAAAAAGTTGACGCTGCCGCTACTTTACACACCAACTCGCCAGCTTTTGAGCGAGTAGGCAAGTAAAGTAGCCCAGTGTGAACACAGTTGCTTGTGCTTGTGCGCATGTTATTCGCAGATGTCGGAGGATTTAGTTCAAGCCAGCTACTGAGCGAGTGGAAAAAGCATCGTGTGAAAGACTACAAGCGCACTCGCCGACGTCTTTCTACACGCCGGCAAGTTGGCTAGTGGACAAGCTCCGTTTGAACAAATACAAGCACACTCGCCAACTCGCCGGCTTCTTACACGCCGGCGAGTAGCGTGTAAACTCGCCCCGTGTGAACGAGGTTTTAGGCTCTAGGATCACTTACCCACAAACCTAATACAGCAAAGACGTAGAAACCAAATCCATAAAAACCAGTTAGGCCCAAAAGCCCACTAGTTCCTCCAGAAAGTGCGGCCATGGACGTCCTGCAGTACTCAACAACTGCAGCATTGTTCCTGATGGCCAACTCGCTGTAAGCAACGATCTCTGGAAAATGTTTCAAAATCAATAAGATTTGTAATACTATCTACCGAATGTTGCAAAATCAAATAGATTTCAAAAATATACAGGCTCCAATGAGTGTAAATGTAAAACATGTTTACTACATAGCCTATATAATTCTAGAATCAGCTTTTACTCCCACAAACATTCTGTACTGAGGAATAGCCTACAATTAATTACCATCAGCTGTACATATGACTTAAACAGACCGCATCAAGGGCTTATAATATAGAGCTTAGCATAGGCTTGTGAATTAACTTATTGTTCAAAACTGATTGTTGTATTTAGCGGTTTCAATTTAAATTACATTCAAGAAATGAATCAATGCACATAAGCAAAACGTGGACATCCAACTCCATTGTATTACAGAACTTTATTACTTAATACTTTAATACATTTCAATGAAATGGCAACCATACAAAGTAGGTATTTTAAGCCAAGTTTGAATGGAGATGACTATATGGCACAGAAAATGTACTACTATAACCCAGATAGTAGTATAGTAGTACGTTTTCTGTGGTATAGGATGAGTGGCGCGATCTTGTAGTCTTGTTAGTCACTAAGGCCGACATATTCCTTAGACACAGCTGTTAATTAATAGCCAATACAGATAATTTCAACTTAGAAGGGAACTACAGTTTATGGTGGAATCCGAACCACATTTTTGCCCTGGTATTAAGAAATTGGTCTAATTATCAGGATACATGTGGATAGTCGTAGTACTCACTAGTGCGGACGTTAATCAACACCAGGGAGTATCGTAACATCAAAGTATTGGTTGATCGATAACCAACTTAACCCAACTAAACTATATAGGCTATGTTAAATATAAGTTAAATACCAACTCAACATCAACAGTTCAAAATGTGATAGTCAAACTCACAACATGTTTCGCCTGTTCATTCAGGCATCGTCTGGTGATCACCTAACAAGAATGCTTTATCTATTAAGTTATAGAGTCGTCTTATAAAATATCTTATTAATCTGTAAACTTAGTCTGGACTTATTAATTATTTTGATTTATATTTTAAATATAGGGTATTACGGCCTGACAAGTTGTCAAATAAAATTAAAATAAATGCACAAATTACGGACCATAACGCACAAAAACAATTAACATTTAAAGTAGGCCTACTAAGTTAGGCTACTATTAACCGGGCGCTATAGGGTAGACTCAGTAATAGTAAGGCAATAATAAAGTACTTAGGCCTACTTTAACTGTAAAATGTTTATTCGTCCGTCATGTCCTTTGTGTATTTGTTTGAATGTTATTTGACTACTCATATAATGGATGACATTTTTGTTAGGAGATCACCAGACGATGCCAAAATGAATAAGTTAGGCGAAATATGTTGTCAGTTTCACTACCACATTTTGAACTGTTGACGTAAAGGTATGTAGGTCTAACTTAAGTTATGTTTGTCTAATTAAACAGTTCAGGGGCTACATAACTAATTCTCACTCCTATATCAATTTGTAACACTTATTACCATGGAGTCGTGTGTCATAGTTTTGGCCACAACTCTTAAACATAGCCTGGATTTGGCCTAGATCTAGGTAATTAAAAGTGATAGGGCTATGCCTACATTTAGTGGACATCTAATGTTTGTTTACATTATAACCATGCGATAAATACAATTAAAAATCAATGTAGAAAGTCTTGTAAAGACTTACCTCCTGATTTATCCATTTTTGTTTTTACTCTTCCAACAGACATGGTTTTTAAACTATTTCTAACAGCAACTTATATACAAAACGATTTTCAGTGTTCTGTTTGGGTGGTAAATAGGCTTACTGGTTTAGCCTTCGTACAATGTGAAAGCTCGGATCAGGAAAAGTCAACTAAGTTATGCCTATTTCACAGAAAAAGTTCATACGAGTCCTAACAAACTCAATTTAAATGAATTATTAATTTAATTTGGTGCAGGATGTTGGTTAACCTATAAGTTAGTTTTGCTTTATTGGTTACTTGATAACCGTCGTCGTCGTCTGGTCGTCTGTTTGTTGTTTGTTATCTCATCTGCAGACAACCGAGGTAAAATACAGTCTGACAACGTAAACCATTTTATAAAGAAATGTCCCAGGATACACGGATATACTCAGTTTGCCTTCATATAAGTAGTCTAAATAATGATTTCATAATTATGTTGTTTTGTCTCTGAATGGTCTGAATCACTCTAAAAACTATAAAAGGTATACAATATCATATGAGTACTGCCAAATTGTTATATATAAATTCAAATTTATTTTAAAAATTGAAATCTTACTACACATTGTAGTCTGTTGTAGAACAAAGAATAATATTACATTAAATATTGCAAGTTTGTTTAAACCTAATTATGATAATTGTTATATAGGTGGTTTCTTATAATATTAATAGAAAATTTTATGGCTGTTAAAGATATTAAATATAGCACTTGATTTTCCAAATTGAATTTGTTCCAAAATTTCTCAACTTGTTGAGGAATTGTTCCTCTTGATCGAATGAGTAGTCCATAATATGTCCATAATATCTAAATTTGAAGTATATTATACTTCAAATTTAGATATATGTATGTATGTATACAATTATTACCCTCCTTACCACATAATTTATTAGCATAGACCTTTAAGTTTAAATAAACTTCTAATTCAGTTAAATAAGCAAAACCAAAGAAAATTTAATTAATACTGCTGTAAATATTAAGATGCGATTTTGAAATGCGTACAAACATTTGTTCGTACACAGCTTTGACTATTGTATACTGAAGTCAAAGGTACAAACCATCACCAAACTATAACGTCCCCATAACTTTGGATTCCAACTGAATTCCATTCAAACGTCCACCTTATTTTGGCTCAAATTTGGATCCACCAACTTTTAGAATAAAGAATAGATTCAGGCTCTTGTCCGGTGGGAGTGGTGGGACATAATACTTATTTATTTTATCTATCTATCTATCTATCTATAGGCAAGCATGTTTCTTTAAAACCTTTTTTCTCAGCTTGTGTGCATCGCAGGGAATTAAACGCATACTGTTGGAAAGATATTTTCCTGTAGATGTGCAGAATCCCTTTATAAATTAAAATAGGTTCAAAAATAAGCACAAAAATTAGATTTGAAAACTAAAAAAAATAACATGGGAGTTATGGGTTGCCATGATGGTGACGAAATAACAACAAAATATAAACAGAAAATCAAAACGATTTCCTATCACATGTTTTATTTACGAAGTGGGGTTTACACTGTACATTACATAGTGTAAGAAACGGCCATGTATGTGACCCTAACTTTGTCTGAATAAATAAATAATTTTTAATTTAATTTTAATTTTTTCCTTTAATTTAATTTACATATTTTTGGTCGAGTTTTCGACCACTGGACGACCTTTTAGTACTTATTTAATACGCAAGCAGGATTTTTGTGACAGTTACTCCTCAGAAACTACTCAACCGATTTTCATGTTCTTGGTGTCATTGGAAAGAGCGTAACGTGAAGTTGTGCAGGAGACTTTCTTTTTAGGTAAATAATTAGAGAGTGAAGCCTTGGGGCCCTTTAAAGTTTCGTATTTCTTCATAAGATTATCATAGGAAACAAACATTGTTTTGAAACTCCAGCTGTTGTCAGAAATTAAACATAATAATTAATTGGTCTCCATGGAAGCATGAGAGAATTCACAATGTTTACATTTGCTTTGACATTTAAATGTAAACAATCAGAACCGTCAAATGCCTATTTCACAATTTCAGACAGCTGAACCAAAAAAATAAAACAACTATGTGATAGGTTTATTTTAATCTTAAACTTTATGATAGATTATTTATTACAATGATATAATAAATTATATAAGTTATTAATTATTTAATTTTTATTTTTAAGATTTGGCATATGAGTATGCCTATGATAAATAACACCATTTCAGAGTTCTGCCAGTTTTTGCCTAACACTGTTCTGTAGAGTTTAAAGTAGCCTACACCTTATTGTCTACAAATTGGCTAAATAACTTAGGTATGGTACATTATAAAAGCTGACAGCTTTTTTACATTGACTTAAATTGTAAGCATACCTTTTCCGTTCCATGGGCAGTTTGTTAGTTAAAAATTAACCCTTTACACTGGAATAGGACTTTTATGTAAATTGGAAGTATTTCCATTAGTTAATAATCTTTTAGTTGTCTCTTTTAAAATCACCGGAAGTTATGACTGTTATCAATTTTTAAACAAGTCATTTGTTTATGTAACTCCTGTACTTATTTGCAATTGCTCGATTTCGAGCAACATGTACACCAGTCATAGGTTAAAGCATACTCCCTTTATGTATAAAAGTTCATCAAACAAATCTGTTAACATCGGTGAAGTCGTGGAAGATCTCTTTTTTCAAGGTTGTTGCTCAGTATTGTCGTCAGTTATAACTGAATCAACTCCTAAAATAAACGCTGAGTTCTTAATTTTACAACAATGATAGTATAAACAATTCATAGTAAAACCTAAACTGCGCAGCTTAGTAGATGAAATGTCATATAAAATTTCTTATGGTTAATGACAATGGTAAAATAATATCTCAAGTGTACTAATTTATTATAAAAATGTTACATTATATGTTTAATCGATGGTAGACTATAACGAGAGAGAACTGTGATAAGCAATGCAGCTCTTGTACACTGAACGTGTTGATCGCTTAGCAAGTGACACAAGCACCACCTTTGTAACTTGAGGATACAGGATCAAAGTTTTAGTCATCCCTCTGTTACAAAATTCTCCTTCCTGTCCGTGGTAAGTTAACCTACCCAACTACTATTCAGGTGCTAACACCCCATTGACTATGTGTTCATTTCCTATAGTAATCTTGTGCTGCACTTTTATTCAAATGTGAACGACGCCATAGTAAATTAAATTAATGTAGGTTATGTTTTACAACATACGATTTTTTGCAACAATATATTTTGTTGTTTCTTAGCTATGCAATATTTCCCAACAAGGCGTACGTTTTTCTACTTTTTTTCAGTCAACAATATAACTTAATCGTTTAAATCACTACACTAAGACAGCGTCAGACTAGACTTAGTGATAACATTTCATAGTGAATCAAGTAATGATATTTCGAAACGTAGCGAAACTCATGGAAAACTGCGTAATAAACGTTCAGCTTTAATTTATGAAGTATCGTATATAATCACAGACAATTTTTTTTGGAAGGGGCCTCAAATTGCCTAAAATCACGCAATTCGATCATTCTTGTTAATACATTTTTGAAGAGTTAAATGAAGGCTTTTTATAGTATATAAAACGAGATTCAAGAGCTACGAGGCACAAAGGTATACATTTTTGTAACAATTAATTATAATCTCAATGTTCATAATCCAGCAATATTTGTCCAACGTGAGGCCTATTTGAACATGTCGACAACCTATTGTTGTAACTTGTGGGGGCTGGTTTCATACACACGCCTAATAGAACGTTGTATATATTCACAATAGACTAATCTAACGAAATAAAGGACATAACCAGCAGTTTCAATAGCACCAACATTTCACGGCTTGCAGCAAAGTGACTTTACACCAAGTCATAGGTGGAATACAACTACTGTTTTATTTAATTGTTATTACAAGTTGTATTTTACACTGAGTACGTTTAAAAGCTTATTAAATTCCAATAACTGCAAATTACAGACCTGTCAATATGAGTTTTAAGAATCTTTTGTGAGACTGGCTTTTCAAAGAAAATCTAGGTTTTAGACTCTTACGTGCTTCTAATACAGTTTAAATTGCGCAAAAAAATGCGAGACAAAACTTTTTACAAGTACTTTTTCTTGTAAAATATAACAGACCCCGGTGGGGGGAAATGGAAGGGGGGGGGGGTTAAATTTATCCAATTTTCCCCCTTACTCCCAAATACATCTAATCATTTTTTGGGCAAATGACCTCCTTAAATAGTAGAGTCTTTAAGTGTAATTGATGACACATTAAGAGAGAAGATTAGCTAAGCCATTGTAACAAGAAGAACCAGAAAGGAATAATGTTTATTTTTAAAACGTTTTTATTAGCTCGCTTTCTTGTCCTGTACACATTTTTTATGTTTTATGTTTATTTTTATTTTAATATTATGAATTCTTCAACAAATTTCAGCTTAATACTAATTAACAGGCTAAAATAAAATATTAGCCAAAATAACCGAACACTTAACAAATTAAGGATTGTTGATATAAATAGGTATATTCAATAATTAATTCCTAGGTGGATACTGTTGGTGTTTGAGTCAGTTGCCGTCCCAATCGCCCCATTTTGAGCGCCACTGTCGCTTGTCACAGTCTCAGTGTCAATGACACATTGCAGCCATTTGTCAGTGGAACTTTTGCGCTCCATTAGTCACGTGACACAGCCTTTTTTCTTTTTCAAATATTTACTTAATAGACAACAGATCAAAAGGTGGAGATTGATTTGCGCACCGGTATCAATATTTTGTTTAACTTTTCGACATAGAAAATATTTAAATTTCTTGCATAAATGACCGTTTCTAAAATAAAACTAAGCGCTACACTTGTTTCAGGACTTTTGAGGAAACTAAATTAGGCGTCACACAATTTTACAAAATAAACAAATTAATGTTATAAGATACTTATTATGCCTTCCATAAACAGGCAGTTTAATCGTTTGGAGGGATTGGTTCTATCCTTTCTAAAGCTGTTTTTTAAATTTCCGGATATTATGAAATGCCAGCTAAAATTGGCTGAAAAATATAGGGGGCGGCTCAAGCTTAAAACGACAACGGTAAATCAATTAATCAAGGTGTCCGTGCGAAAACTATGCTTTCTTAGTAGCTTAGCTAGATGTGTTTTACGTTGATGTAGGCTATATATATCCTTGAACAAACGTAAACGTTTTTGTTTGTTTTTACTACCATATCATTACATCGACCCACACATGTAAACATAACAACTGTTTCACCCAGAATCTTGAATAAACTCTCCACCCTCTCATACCACCTTTAGCTCTCCAACCC